GCATGGCAGCAAGGGGACCCATGGAAGAAATGCAGAGGCGAAGTCGGAATTTGAAGTTTATGGATTTGGGATTTTAATTCTAAGGGCAAATCCACCTCTCGACTTACGGGTTCACGTGAACCCAGTAGATTTTGTCCAAACAGTATAAATATATTCGAAAAATTTACAAAATATTTATAAATGTTTGAACGTGAAACAAGTTATTATTGAAAATGTACTCGAGATCGTTGCAGGAATCCATAAACATTAAATCCTCGATACACCTTTGTCTAATTCTTTTAAGTTATGAGTTCTAAATTAATAATTTTGTATACATCCAATGAATATATTAAGATAAATACAAAGTTTAGACCAAAGTTACTGAATTTGGCCGAATCCGTAACCTACACACTAACTCGGCCCGTGAATGGGTGACTATACTATACTTCTATAAGGGGCGAATCTACGATATTAGTTATGAGTTTACGTGAACCTAATAACACTATCAAAAAATAAAAATATGACCCGTCTATAGTACTGTTGCCAATGGAATTTTTTGTACTGTTGTTACTTATGCTCGGATTCAATACGTTTATTAAGAAAGTTTGCTAATTATCTATAAATATTGACTATATTATTATTATTATTATTATTATTATTATTATTATTATTATTATTATTATTATTATAGTATTAGTTTAAGATCGTTATAGGAACTCATAAATTTTAAATTTTGGATTCGATTCTACCTCTATCAGCAATCCCATCAATTTCAACCTTTCAACTTCAAGTAGTAATAAGGTTCGGGTCTAGATGTACGGTTAATAGTTCGTCCAAACTTAGTAGCTTTTACTTAAATAATGTATGTGTGCTCACAAATGTATTAAATATATATAAATATTAAATTTAAAACTCACTTATTGTCGCTTGAAGTCGTGATCAATTCAAATTCTCATTGAGTAGGCTAACTAAGGAAATAAATTACTTTCTATTTAAAACTCTCATTAAGAGTAAAATATTGGTGCGATTTTAAAATATATATTTTTTCGCTTTCTTAAAATAATACGTTATCCTCGTCAAAATTATTCTATTTGTTCCAAAAATCAAGAAATGACAGTTTATATCAAATAAATATGGTAATGGTACGCAAGGGAGGGCCAGAGCTGCTGACTTTTTGCTGAAATTTTTATGGGTTCAACCTTTAAGATTTTTAGTATTTAACCCGATATATTTTTAAAGTTATGGGTTCATCTATACTATTTATTGCAATTTTAGATTTACACATAAATTTATGCGCTGCATCGAAATTTATGGGTTCAATGGAACCCGTCATTTACGTGCTACATACGCCCCTGAATATAGTCGTCCCTTAAAGCAGGCAATATATATAATTTTTGTATATTAACATATGGTATGCATATAATATATATTTTATACATAATCAATGTATACTTTTTTTTTATATATATTTGATTAACGACTGTAATTATTTTTAGCTCATCGACCAAATATATATTAAAAGTACTATTTTACTNGGGGTTATCACTGCATGCATGCATTACACAAAATACGACAACTTTTTTTTTTAAAATTTCAATGTTCGATATTCGCATTGGAAGTGCATGCATGAACTAAGGCATCGTATAATTAAACTTTTGGTATTAAACTTTGTATTAATCATGCAAAATTTAATACCAAATTGAAAGTCATACGTTGTATTACTAATTCTAGTATAACTTATATGAGAATCAATATATTATTTTATTCGAGAAATACTCTTATCCACAGACCAAAATGCCTGTAAATTAAGCAAAATTGTTGTATTATTATTCTATCACATAATAATACCTACATTATTGTTCATCACGTAACAATTTTCATATTATTTTTCGCAGCATGATAACTCCTCCAATTCATTGCATTATAAATTCAAAAGCGTAGTCAAGATTTCAAGTTTATGAGTTCGGGATTCTAATCGTTTGAAATTACTGGGTTCTAAATTAATAATTTATACATATTCAATGAAATTTTAAATACAAATATAAGATTCGAACCAAAGCTATTGAGTTCGGTCGAACCCAACTTCTAGCACTCTAGCTCTGGCCCTGATTATAATCTCTGACATAACTAGACTGTATACTAAACGATCCTTAAATTAAATGACCTTCTAGACCTTTTTCTTCTGCTCCATTCACATGTGAAATTCAGGTTCATGAACTTTATGGTGTATTTTGCACTATAATCAAAGCTCTGCTACTGCTGCTGGCTAGTGCTAATACTGAGATACTCATGCTATTCAATGAGCTTCGAATACGCAGAAGCAGATCCAGAATTTTAATTTTACGGGTTCAAGACTCAGGTACTTAACTTCTGTGATTACTTGTCGTTGCTTTCGTTCCGGCCTTCTGATTGCAATATTCAGTTTTAGTTTTCTATCTTTGTAGTTTTGCTTCGGTTTTCTAATCAGTGTGCTTGCTGCTGCCCTTTCTTTTATCTTTCTTAAGTCGAGTGTCTTCCAAAAACCATCTTTTTGCCTTCTTGAAGATAGGGGTAAGGTCTGCATACATACTAGGGGCGAAGCCACCTTTTGCTAAGGATGATCAACTGACCACCCTTCGTCAAAATATTACGAAAAATTACACTGTGTGCACAGGTAAAATATTGATTTTAGACGTAAAAAACATATATTGAACACCCTTTGTCGGGAATTATTCTTTTACTTCCTTCAAGTCTGAACACCCTTGGAAATATTTCTGGCTTCACCACTGATACATACTACCCTCCCTAGACCCCACTTGTGGAATTACACTGGGTCTGTTATTGTTGTTGTTGTTGGGTTCAGGACTCAAGTTCCAACTACTGAAGCATCACATTGTTTGAGTTATTTGGTTCATAGTACAGTACTTTGAGCAATTTCAGTGGATTTTACACAGATAAATCAAAGTGTGACTAATTATGGGTTCATGAACCTGATGTTATTTTGCATTATAATCAAAGCTCTGCAACATCTGCTATGGCTAGTGCTAAGACTGAGATACTCATTCTATTCAATGTGCTTCCAATGCACACCTTGATAATAGTATGGTGTTACATGTTATCAGCTGTGTTTGTCATTGAGTATTAAAGGCATGTGAGTTCGGAATCCGAAAAATGAAAGAACTTAAGGTTATGCTGAATGTGCGATCAAGACTACACTATGTATGTACATGTACTGGTGAGCCGTTGGTCGGTCCTAGAAAAGACGGCGATGGTGCGAGGAGTACTTAACAACCGGACATGCTGCAGCCTACACCAAGCAGCTCTTTCGCTCTATAGGGGTAGGGGCGGAGGTAGAATACGGGATGCGGGTTCGGCTGAATCCAATAACTTTTGTTCAAACCATGTATTTGTCTTAAGAAATCCATTGAACATGTAGAACTTATTAATATAGAATCCAGTAACTTAAAAAGATTACAATTCCAAACCCATAAGATTCAAATCCTGGCTCCGCCTCTATATAGGGGTCAGGGGACATAGCGCCATAGCACAACTCGATGCAAATCTGAATTAGTTGGGCCAATGAATTTTGAATACAAAATGCCAACTTCCCATGAACAAAATGTCCAATATCATACAAGTGTCAAGTCACTTGTGCAACAGTTACTCATCAAACTATCAAAAAGGCTTTAGAAAAAGATCAGAAATAAGCTGGACAAAATATATATCTGCAGTACTCAGACAATTCAGTTGCATTATAAAAAGGCAGCCCGGTGCACTAAGCTCCCGCTATGCGCGGGGTCCGGGGAAGGGCCGGACCACAAGGGTCTATCGTATGCAGCCTTACCCTGCATTTATGCAAGAGGCTGTTTCCACAGTTCGAACCCGTAACCTCCTGGTCACATGACAACAACTTTACCAGTTACGCCAAGGCTCTCCTTCACAATTCAGTTGCATTATATCTCAGAAAATTACCCTTGTTTCTTGATCTACTCTACAAACAATACTTCACCTAATGGACCCTATTGTATGTTGTTAGGGGCCCGTTTGGTTCAAGGGATAAGGTGGATTATCTCGATATAAATTTTGGGATTAAATTTATCCCGTATTTAGCTGAAGGTATTAACTAAAACTGACATTATTTTATACCAAAATCTTGATACTCTATTAGAGGCGGATCCAGAATTTGAAGTTTATGAGTCTCTACAGTGACCTCAAGTTAATATACAATAATAATGCGTTCACAGTGAAATATTTATAAATATTTAGTGAATTTTTTAAATATATATACAAGGTCTAGAGAAAAGCTACTACGTTTCCGTGAATCCGTATATCATACTCTAGATCCGCCACTGTCCCACATAAAAGGTGGATAAATTACCTTTTATGTTGGAACCTAATCTCATGAGAAAAAACAAAGAAAAACAGAAAATAAGAAACCACAAAGGAACTGAATTTTTGGAATTATCTTCTAATATCAAAAAGACTAAGCAAATAGTATTACATTAAACAGTAAACTGTGGTTCTATAAAGTACAGCTATAGTTTCATTGTGTACAGGTTGGCCAATTGTATCTTTTATTTGATTATTCATTTCCAATGATAAAGAAAATGAAGAATGGCAGGCTCCTCAGTCTAAAGTTAACTAAATCTAATTGATCAAATCTCTTACAAGGTGGGAAGTTATTGGAGGGAAGGATGCCGAGAGTCTATTTGGGGTTGCTCTGATGGTAAGCAACCTCCACTTCCAACCAAGAGGTTGTGAGTTCGAGTCTCCCCAAGAGCAAGGTGGGAAGTTCTTGGAGGGAAGGATGCCGAGAGTCTATTTGGGGTTGCTCTGATGGTAAGCAACCTCCACTTCCAACCAAGAGGTTGTGAGTTCGAGTCTCCCCAAGAGCAAGGTGGGAAGTTCTTGGAGGGAAGGATGCCGAGAGTCTATTTGGGGTTGCTCTGATGGTAAGCAACCTCCACTTCCAACCAAGAGGTTGTGAGTTCGAGTCTCCCCAAGAGCAAGGTGGGAAGTTCTTGGAGGGAAGGATGCCGAGGGTCTATTTGGAAATAGCCTCTCTATCCCAGGGTAGGGGTAAGGTCTGCGTACACACTACTCTCCCCAGACCCACTAAGTGGGATTATACTGGGTTGTTGTTTTTTGTTGATCAAGTCTCTTACAAAATACATACAAGATTGCACTATTAGGAAAAATCTTTTTACCCTTTTCTTCTCTTTGGACTCAGAATAAAATCATCATCGTCGTCGCTGCTATCAGATTTTAGTCGTTTCTTCGCCTTTACATCACCGTTCTTTGATACTTGTTGTTGCTTCTTTGAACTCTCAGGTTTGCTTATCAATGGCCGCGGAGGAGGAGATTTAATAGGAGTCCCCATGCGGATTTGCTTTTGCTTTCTCTGTTTTTTCTCGAATGCCTTCTTTGATCTCTCTGGTGACAACAGACCATGCTCCATCAACCTGCATTACATGCCTCAGTCTTATTTCAACATTTTTCTCTCAACTCTTTTAAGAAATGGAAGGAGCAAAAATATGAAAGAACAGTAAAAAATAGTGTGATAATTAAGCAGTAAACAACCTACGCTACGGTTAATACTTAAACTTAAGGAGTTGATGGAGATCCACAGAACTGAAGAATACTACTAGTATATATTAAGGACCCGGTTAAAATGAGGAAACAACCAATTACAAGATACGAAGACAAGCACATCGTTGTTGATCGTCCTGTGGTTAAGATGTCATAGTAAGCTTGGACCTAAAGATATAGTCAAGAAGTGGACTATCTACATGCTGTATATGGATACTCTACCGAAAGGCTCAAGGAGCATATGACATATGTTCTCTGATTGATTCCTCATTTAAGATCTGGTATGACTACCTTTACTATTACAACAGAGTACTGTGTGAATAAAGGATTCAAATGTGCAATGCTTTGTAAGGTTCTTATACGGATTCAGATGTCCACTTTACTCGTTTAGTCTCTCAATTCATACAGGTAAATGAGAGTCTCAGGAGCCAAAAAGAACACATGATTGAGAATATGTAATGGCTATAATGCAAAAGATATAGTTGTCAATGCCGAGCAGAGCTAATACCAGTCATTCAGAAACACAAACAAACATCGAATTGGGCAGCATTTGAGGCTATATCAAATGCAAGGCCTCAACTGCCTCATTTAATAAACAATACATGTTCCTTTCACTTAGCTTATTGGCCGATACAGAATACTATGGTAATTATCTCTACCTTAAGATCATTTGCCTCAAGGTACATTTATCCCTTTTTCACCCGAAAATATAAATCTTATCAGCTCATTGCTCTGCTTGCTAACTTGCCTAAAATCGTAGTTTACGTTCCAAGAAAAGCACCTAACAAGGTTCACAAATTTGATGCACATCCCACAGTAGATGATGGCGGAAAATCGTATTAGACCCAATTGCACATATTAAATGGACCTTGACCTTATTTATTGAGGGGCAATATAAGAACCAACAACCATTTCTAACTCGGACCAAAATGCTGCCGCACCCATGTTGGATCCTCCAAAAATGCACAACTTTTGGAGGATCCGACACACACCAGACAACATTTTCGGAGAGTCCAAGAAAAATAGTTCGCAGTATAATTATTTTTATAAAGAAGATACCTGACCTCCAGAGTTAAAACATTTTAGCGAAATAAAAACTTAACAGACCCCCTGAAGAAGACGCTTAGTAGCATGTGATTTTTGAGTATGTGCCAATGCATGTGATTTTTGAGTATGGAAAACATGAGATTTCCATACTGCAGTGGTGTCCGTGATTGCACCAAAGTTGGATCAGGCCCAGGCCCCCGAAGTCCAGTTATACTGCAATTGCAGCAAGGGCACTGCAATCATAGCAAACCCCCAAGTAAAAAAGATCAGATTTCGTTGATTTTAGAGTTCTAACTCCATTTTTGAGACTTTGAGCTACAGATTTGAGGTGATTTTTGGTGTGGGATCATCCTATATCATTATGGTAAGGATTCTAATCTATAAATTTCTTATATAAAAAGTACTGCAAATAATAGTCTTCCTTTCCTTCAAAACAAACCTCGTTCGTACTCCAAGTCTTCTACACGATACTCAAGTACATTCAACCTTCCATTGCCCCAACAAAATGGCAATCACAAGCATTCTAATACGATAGAGGTAATTTGTTGATATTCATTTTTTAGGTAATAGTTTTGCAGGAAAAATACGGATTTTGCTCAACAGTGTAAGAGAACTCCTGCCGTGGAATCTGCTTGAGGGGAAGTGGCTAAGAAATAGACTTAAGAGCAGTTAACAATATTGAGAAAAGAAGACACAAGCAACCATAGTGCTAGTTCACGTCTGATATCAATAACAAAATGGGTAATAGCAAGCATTCTGATATCAATAACAACAAACCCAGTGTAATTCCACAATTGGGGTCTGGGAAGGGTAGTGTGTGCAAACCTTACCCCTATCTTGTGAAAGTAAAGAGGCTGGTTCCAATAGACCCTCGACTGGCGAGCATTGTGATATGAGAGAGGTAATTAATTGATTCCTATACAAGTGTACTACATATAACTTACACACGTCAGGTCCCTAGACAAGTTTTTGATCCTTTTAAAAGTAAAAGATGCAGATACAATTGTCAAGAAAACTCACCAGAACTCTGCCATTTCACTTGAAGGTATCTGCTTTGACAACGATTCATAGAATAACCTCAATGGTTCTCGCTGTTGAAGAGAACATACAAAATCAAAAGAGTGGACAAGTCACTTCGGATTTCCATCATAATGAAGCATTTAACAGATCATGAAGAAAATAACGAGCAAAGCAATCGATCTATCACCTCTTCAGGAACATCATACTTCTGGCCAGCCAAGGAATAAACTTTCTTCACTCGAGTTTTGGTTTGCGTTTTTGTGACAGTCTTGGATGAACTTGAGGTTGTTTTTCCTTTCACCTTTACTTGGACAATAAGGATTAAAAAAACTAATCAGGGCCATAATCATCAAATCAGAATAAGCTTTGGTCATCAATTTCTATACAGCTAAGTAATAAGAGTAAGTGGGGTGGGATGGGATGATAAAACTCAAAGAAATAGATGCGGTAGAGATTTCATTGTCATGTCCTCAATTATCGGTTTCAAGCTAATTGGTGTTGAGAAAACACTTAATTCATGGCCATTCACGTAATACCTTTCTTAAGTTACACATTCATCTGAATTTAACCCTACTCAGACAAGACGCACTAGCATTTCAGTATGGAAAACAAATCAACAAGAAATCTCACACACCCAAATCAAAATAGTAAACAAACCATACAACAAAGAGAGGAAAAGAGGAATCTTTTCAACTGCTCGAAAAAGGACAACACGGTGCACAAGGTATCCCGCGTTCACACGGGGTTCGGGGAAGGGCCGCACCCTAAGAGAGTGTGATGTAAACAGCCTACCCCAAGAATATCAAAATTTTGAAGAACAAGGAAAGTAATGCTCTTTTGTTCGAATGAGTACTGATATTAGAGACCACAAAGATAGGAAAATTTAAATCTTTTAACTACTAGTAAGGAAAATAATGAATTATAGTATACCGACATTTGAAGCATAAGAAAAGCAATAACCTTTTGCATATGGGTACCTCAATTTTTCAAGAATATCAAAATTTGAAGTATGCAAAGATCATTTTTTACCTCAAATTTTTCAAGAAAATCAAAATTTAAGGCATAATAATAAGATCTTTTACCTCAACTTTTCAAGAATATCAATTTTGAAGCATAAAAAAAAAGAGGATCTCTTACAAATGTTACATCAATCTATTACCAGTACACAAATTATTTACCAATACTAGAACTAAATGCATCTCAAATTTAACAGATTTTTATTACTGATTATAACTAGTTTAGGAATGAAACTTAGTTGATTAATTGTAAAAAAGCAAGGATCTTTTGCAGATGGGTACCTCAAATTTTCAAGAATACTAAAATTTGAGCCATTAAAAGATGATCTTTTACCGCAAATTTTCAAGAATATCACATTTTGAAGCATAAAAAGATGATCTTTTGCAGATGTTACCTCAATCTTTTACCAGTAAACAAATTATTAACCAATATTAGAACTAAATGGATCTCAAACAAACATTCATACTACTGACTATAACTAGTTTAGGACTGAGACTTAGTTGATTAATTGTAAAAAAACAGTGATCTTTTGCAGATGGGTACCTCAAAATTTCAAGAATATCAAACTTTGAGGCAAAAAAAAGATGATCTTTTACCTCAAATTTTCAAGAATATCAAAATTTGAAGAATAAAAAGATGATCTTTTGCAGATGTTACTTCAATACTAGAACTAAATGCATCTCAAATATAACAGAAAATCACATAGAACAATCATATTAATTAATTGATTTTAAAAAAAAAAAGCAAGGATCTTTGGCAGATGGGGTACCTCAATTTTTCAAGAAATATCAAAATTTGAGCATAAATGGTGATCTTTTATCTCAAATTTTCAAGAAATATCAAATTTTGAGGCATAAAAATATGATCTTTTTGCAGATTGGTACCTCAGTTTTGACAGAAATGGCAGATTTACCCTTTAAATCAGCAGATTGCTTAGATGAGATCTGAATAACCTTCTTCTTGATAAGAGATGAATCAAATTTGGGTTTTGAAGATGACCCAACTTGATTACTACTACTGGGTTTCACTTTTACAACACTAGATTTACTCTCTGTAGCCATATTTAGAGCATGAATATAAAATAAAAAATCTTGGTTTTGATCTGATAATGTTCCTTATCTTTGCTGGTTTTTCTCAGTGGTTTATTGACATCAGGATTTGTTAACTGTAAATTCTTTGTGAGTAAAATTGCTAAAAATAGATTTAACAGTGAGATAAAGAAAGTGAAATGGAAATAAGTGGTGATTTTGGTAGGTAGGTTTTAACTGCTTTTAACCTCGTCAACAACGCCCAACTGTTACTAAAAAATATATAAAAATTTAAAATTAAAAAAAAAAAAAAAAAAAGGTAAACGTCGACAGCAGGATTCGAACCTGCGCAGGCAAAGCCCAACAGATTTCGAGTCTGTCTCCTTAACCACTCGGACATATCGACAGATTGCTGAATTATTGTCACCTAATGTACTTAGACTGAGATTTATGTATGTGGGGGGTTTTAATCAAGCTTTGCTTTCGTAAAAGGGCAGCCCGGTGCACTAAGCTCCCGCTATGTGCTGGATCAGGAGAAGGGCCGGACCATAAGGGTCTATTGTACACAACCTTACCTTGTATTTCTGCAAGAAGCTGTTTCTACGGCTTGAACCCGTCACCCAAGCTTTGCTTTCATATCAAACCAATTCTTGCTTTATATCATTTCTAGAACAGAGTCAATTTATTGGATGTTAATTTTATGTATATATATCACTTAATAAAATTATCGAGTAAAATGTTATCGGATGACATTACTTTAGCCGATGTATATCCATTACTGGACTAGATAATACTTGAAAAATTGTCCATGTGACTTAACACGTATATCGCCCCCACCATTTCCATTTTCACGATTTAGGTTGCTCACATTTCGCTCTTACATCACTATATTTTAGTAGTTTACTTTAGAGTAAATGTATTACTTATATGATTTATCTTTAACTAGTTTTAGAATTGCAACTATCTTAAACAACTTATCTACATGCCTGCTCAAGGTAGGATAAGGTCTACGTACAACTATTCTCTTCAAACCCTCACTAGTGCGATTACACTGTGTTTGTTGTTGTTATTGTTGTTGTAAGTTTTAGTCTAGCCGATGGTCTATCGGAAACAGCCGCTGCCCTTCTAGGGGTAAGGGTATGGCTGCGTACATCTTACCCTCCCCAGACTCCACTTGTGGAAAACTATTGGTTTTGTTGTTGTTGTAGTAAGTTTTAGAATGCAATAACAAAACAGTGACAATTTAACCTTCATTCACTAAATGTTTTGGTTCTTTTTCAACAGAACAAGATCTATTTACCTGAACTTTCACAACCAAAAGACATACATACAGGATAAAAATGACAGATTTTGGAAGTTGACAAGAACGAAACTGTGTTCGCACCATCAATCGAATTGGCTCATTTCTGCTTAGCTAGGATGTTTCGTGTTACATTTTCATCTTACAATTGAAAACAACCACTCTATCTCCACAAGGTAAGGGTAAGGTCTGCGTATACACTACCCTGCCAAGACCCCACTGTGTGGGATTACACTGGGGTCGTCGTTGTTGTAGTTTTCATCTTACAATCAAGAAAACCTCTCCTTAGCTCTTTAAAAGAACAGCCATAAAAATGAAACCTCTAGTACACAATATACTTCAAGAAAGCATTAACATTACAGTCAATCTTGCAAAGCTAAGTCTAGCAACTAATCTGCAAGCTGCTCAATGGGGTTGAATCCTCCATTGGACCATTTAGTTGTATTTCGAAAAATCTTTAGTCTGAAGACTTGGCCGGATACTTGCAACTCTACATTTGTGTAGATGACAATGATATCTTCTCACCAATCAGTTAACAACCTGGCTTACTGTGGTTTTCCACTTAGTAGCCAGATGTATAAAGTGCGACGAACTCAGAAACTGTACAGAAATGTTCCCTTGTAACAAGAAAAGTGGGGAGGCAGCATTCCTGTAACCACCAGCGGACAGTCAGGATATATATTTGCAGTAGATGCTCATAATCTTAACTATTTCTCCCTGCAATTGGAAGGAAAGAGCAAGGTATATTACACAAACCAAAATCGCGATACATTGGAAGTAAAACATAACTGGATAAAAAGTTATTTGTTTTTCTTTCACATTTATTTTCCTAGACACTGGTAGACATATTATAACTTCAAAAGAGGTCTTCCGTCTTCCATTTTCAGGAAGAAAAAAAAAACACAAATAATAATGAACTTAGGTGCAACTGCTGTGCAGAGCCTCAATACATGATCTGTAAAATATTAACAAATGAGGTAACTTTCCTAATACGTTGTGCTCTGATGTTACTAAGGAGTAAGGCAGGGATTCTTTTGCTGACTACGTGCTGCTGAACAAGAATCGTTAGATGGCTTAATTTTTTCTATATCCCTCATTTTCATTTCATCTGGCGCCAATTGCTAGAGTAGTGTACGGTAAAAGGGGGAGATAATCTTATATAGGAGGAAGTTTAATGGCTGATTCAGGTAACAAGGAGCAGTTTGATCTAAGCTATTCAAAATTCACCTCGTTTTGTGCTTTGAATATTATATAGCAGGAAAGGAATCACGGCATTCCAATTAAAAAGCAGAAAAGTTAGGTTCTTCTGCTCGATAACGGTTAAAGAAAGTTCTAGTAATGTACTACTTTCACCATCTTGGAAACAGTTTCCAAATCCAAAAGTGAGTCAGCATGAGTTGTTATATATCGCTGAGCTTCGAACTAGTAGATGTCTTCAGGTGTATGCACCTAATGTGTAATTTTTTTTTTTGATTTGCACCGGGTGTCCGAGTCTCTTCGAGCCCCGACTATTCCCGGGGGTGCACAGGCCCTCGGCAAGGAGTTTCCCGCAAGTGCACCACGGTTAATTCAGGTTTTACCCAGTCCGATGACCCTCAGAAATTGTTTGCACCCAGTGGGTTTCGAACTTGAGACCTTGAAAGGGAGCAAACTCCAACGCTCAAGTCAATTGCCACCGGGCCAACCCCTGATGTGTAATTCCCTTGCTATGATTGCAATAGATTATTTGTTTGCAGAAACAGACGTGAAAATGAAATAGAATAAACAAAATGAGGCTTAGATATATTATGGTAGCTATTTGAACACTCACAGCGGGGGGAGAGGTGGAGGGTTATGCTCTCTACAATGACAAGCAGACGTTTGAAACAAAAGCTAAAACATATAAGTAATAAAATTTCAAAAAAAATTGAAATGGACTGTTCTTTGATTTATCTCTATCATAAAAACTGAAAGTTCCAAAATAAAAGAAAGTTAAGAAGCTCCTTTGTAAAATCATATCATACTGCTCAAAAGAATGCTAGTAATAAGCTCCTAGCGGAAAATAAAGAACATTATTCGCTCACCTTGTTTCATTGTACAAGTGCAGTCTGTATATGTCGACATTGTCACACACTTGCAGTAATAGTGCCCCTGTAACTCCTTACCAATGGCTCTGTGTTGAATTGCCAAACCATGATTCTTGAGCAGTGCGTCGGAAAGCCTTCCATTTGGCTTTCATCTTCCACAACTTGTTCAATAAATGCGCTCACCTGTAATTGCAGTAATGCGCTCACTTCTTCATCTTTATAGTTACAAGGTGCTAGTAAATAATCATGTTATTTGTGATGTATAGGGGTGTGGCGACTAATAAAAAAATTGTTTGCAAAGCCATTAGAGTTACAGTAGTAGCAGCAAAACTCACTTGCAAGCCACCTTTAACTATATCGAGCTGCCTAATGGGCTCTAGTGTTGGCCGACTCCACCTCTTTGGATCCCAAAGTACTGTACTATTGAATGCAAATCCTGATATTTCAGCGTAGAATCTCTGGAATCTTTTTGCCGTTCCATCTGTATGCCAACCTATAACCTGAGAGCCATTACAGATTGGACCCTGCAAGATAACTTTCCTATTATTTTCAGATAGTCTTGCCACAACCCATGTCCCGAACTGGCTGCATACAACAATTCTCTATCAAGAAAGCTGATCGACAGAGTGACAAAGTCAGAAAATAAGTAGACCAAATTTCATCATCTTGTCAACGAGATCCAGTCTAAATATAAGAAATATAAGGTT